ACTAGTACGGTACTCTGCTCAAAGAATGGTCTTTAAGAAACAGACCTTCAGAGCAGAAAGAACTTTCATAAGTAACATGAAATGTGTAAATTTTCCTTACTGTTGTACAGTAGGCCTGTGTGAATAGGGCAGTATTCGATTCGGATTCAGCTGATTTGGAGGACAGTGATTCGATTTGAAGATTCAGGTCACTGTCCCAAATCCATTTGGCTGAATTGGCTTAGAAAGATTTGGTGCCAATTTGGAGAAATTTAGTGATTCAGTCACAGACTATAATAGGCAATCACTTAAATACCTATAACTTTCTCATTTTTTGGCGGATTTATATGAAAATAGCAGGGATGGTAGCCCCTTCTGAGGGCATGAAGCCTGCCAAGTTTCACAGAGATAGGTGCAGGGGTTTTGGGAAACTGCACCTCAAACTGCTGAAAGAAAACTCGTGGCGTGTGACTGTGTGTGTTAAGGTGCAGCAGGATGAAACCAGCAGGGATGGTAGCCCCTTCTGAGGGCATGAAGCCTGCCAAGTTTCACAGAGATAGGTGCAGGGGTTTTGGGAAACTGCACCTCAAACTGCTGAAAGAAAACTCGTGGCGTGTGACTGTGTGTGTTAAGGTGCAGCAGGATGAAACCAGCAGGGATGGTAGCCTTTTCACAGATAAGCCTATGAACTCATGGACTTAATATAGACATTGGATTTATGACACAATATAACCTACCTGACATCTGACTCCCCAGGTACCTCTCCACTTTTACCTGCTACATTCCCCTTCCCCACTTCTCTGCTCCCAACCTGTCCCTCACCTGGACACCTTAATTTACATTTTCACTGACTGGCTTTCTTATCTGCACTGCATGCCAGCTCCTGGCTTCTTCACTATTCATTCCATTCAGGAAGAGCAGGGGACCTTCCCAGTGCAGGTGAGATCTCAGCCCACCCACCTGTTTCTGGACCAACCACCCGCCCCTCTTTTACCTGTTACACCTTGAAGGAAAACTAATTCAAATGTTCCCCAAGCAGGAGGCCGCCCACTTGGGCCCCTGATGTCTAGGGTGACATGCATCCGTTCTGCAGCTCCATACCTTCCCTACACTGCAGCCCATGCCTCACAGATGGCATCCCAGGCAGCTAAGCTCACCTGGACCCTCACAACTCCACTGCAATCAGTGAGCCTCAGGCCTCTCAAAGATCTTACAGGTCTGGGCTTTCCCTAGCTAGGACTGTGCATGCGTGTGGTGGCTGGAGGTTATAAGGTGCCTCCTACGTGCCTTTCACCAGGGAGGTTTGCAGTCCTGGCATTTCTTGGGGGCTGCCCTGCCACCAGCAGTCCCACCAGGCCTCCTCACCCTGGCTGGGTGCAGTTTTAGGTCATGCCCAGGACCTGGGGCCTCCTCCTTCCCCACAGCCCCAGCCTATACCTCCAAGTCCATCCTGGAACGGGAGCTCAGCAGGGAGATGTTCTTCCCCTGTTGGCTGGTGATAGTGAGTGCCACCTCCAGCTCTGAGAGCAGGGCATTAAATGGTTTAAAATTTTTTTTTTTTTTAAAGAAATAGGTGTGGACAGAGTGAGGAGGGTGACACTCACTCCGTCTGCATGTGGAACTTGGGGAACTCCAGCAGCAGGAGGTTCACCTTGAGGAACATCAGCTGCTCCACCAAATTAGGATCCAAGGAGGTATGGTGGGGTGTCATAATACCCCCAGCAATGCTGAACACCCTCTCGCTTGGAACACTGGTCAGTGGACAGGACAGGTGTTTCCAGGCAACTGTGGCCAGATACTGCCAAATCCAGCTGCGGGTTGCTCAACAGGCCAAGGGGTCACAGTCCAATGGCTCTACATCCTTGGTGAGATAGGTAGCCACAAAAGCCTCCGTGCCACTTGCCCGAAGCCGGGATCTGGTACCTCTGGACTCCACCATCGAAGCCATGTCCTTGGCCCACCTTGGCAGTGGCTGCCGTGGAAGAGATTGGCTCGTGGTTGAAGTGCTGGAATGGGAAAATGGGTCCCCCTCGTTCACATCCTCCCTTCTGTCTCCTTGACTCTGTTCACCAGCACCTCTGTCCAGTGACTGAGGGTTTTGCCGGTGCACACGCTCCCCTTCACCCTTGGGTCGCACACGGCTCCAGCATGTGGACCATACTGGACTGCAATAGATCCAGCCATTTTTTGATGCCCTCCTTCAGCCACTCCACCAGTGCCTGCACCTCTGGTGAAAGTGGCTTGCCCCAGCCAGGAACATTGATCCCCTGGAACTTCTCCATTTGATTCTCAAGCTCCCTCACTACAGGGATTACCTGACTAAGGATGGCATTGACAGCGCTGAGGATCTTGGTGGCCTTGAGGAATGGCTTGAGGACCACTAAGATCTGGGAGATGGTATCTCACTCGGTTTTGTTAAGGGGGCCGCTGATCCCAATCTCCCCAACTAAGGCCATCTCATGGATGCCTTCTGTTGCTTGACCAGCCTTTGCAGCATCAGATATGTGGAATTCCACCAAGTCTCCACATCCTGCATGATTTTGTGTTGTGGGATGCTCAGCTCTACCTGTTTGTCCCACAGCATCTTGCCCCCCTTGATGCTCTGGTGGAAGTATCCCGACACCTTCCTGCATCTTGAAATGAACTGGCTGGTCTTGACTGTGCTGTCAACAGCAGCTCTGTCCCCCTCCAAGGCGTCCCTGACTAAGAGGTAGAACTTGCGTGCCACACAAGGAATGCCAACAAAGTTGGCATCATGAACTGCCTTGACCATATTGGCCCCAGTGTTGGTGACCATGAACCCGTGGGTGATTTCACCCTGCCCAGAAAGCAACCCTTGCACCATGTGGTTCATGGCCATCATGATTTCCCTTGCCATGTGGGACTTATCCATCAACTCTGCTTGAAGGAGAACCCACTGACTGATCGCATCAGTAACTTGAGGGAGAGGTAGGCATGATCCTCCTCCCCGGATACTCCAGATGTCTGAGGTGAAGTGCAAGGCTACCTGAGGACCTGCCTTGTGCAGCTCCTCCCTCAAGTACTCCCTGCAGGAGTTCTTACTTCATACAGGGAGGTCTGATAATGGTGGTACGTGCAGGCACTCAGTATGATGGGGCCACGAGCGCCATGAGATGCCTGAACCCTGGCCTCTCAACTAAACAGAAGGGCTGGCTATCCAGAGCAAGCATCTCCCCAATGCTCTGGGTGACCTTGTTTGCCTTTGCAACACATCCCCCACTTCATCTGCAGCTTTCCCCCACTGCTCCAGGGTGGCCTGCTTCTGCTTTGTTGGGACAGAGCTTTGGAGTGAGAGGGGGATTTCCCTTTGGGCACACTCCCTCTGGTGCCAGGCTGAGGAGGAGCAAGGGAAAGGGGTGCTGCTTCCTGCAATATAGCAGCATCGCCGTGGTAGTGAAATGTTTCACCTCCTTGCCCTGGCTGATCTGCCTTCGGCAGTGCTGGCTGGTAGCATACCTGGGATCATCTGCCAACTCAAAATGATCCCACACTGCACTACTCCCCTGCTTCTGGGTTGAGGGTGGGGATCTTCCCTTATCCCCCCTCCTCAGCAGGCGGAGGCACAACAGGGGAAGCTGAGCCATCTGCCCCCACAACCTCCTCCGAAGTGCCTTCCAGAAGAGAACTGCCTGTAGAGGAACTTTGAGGGTTGTGCAGCACAAACTCACATCCCCTCTCCTTCCCCAGAATTTCCCTGGTTATGACACTGAGCTTCCCTGGTTCCAGATCCAGCTCTTCCTCTGGCATTGGGAGGCTCATGCTGGGAATGAGCTGAAATTGGGGTGGAGGAGACTGTCATGCTGGTGCTGGTGGCTATTTCTGGTATTAGTGGAGGTGGTGCAGGTGCAGGAACAGGTTCGGCTCCCACCTCCTTGCTCCCACCAGCAGCAGAAATCTCATGGCTGCTAGGGAAAAGGGTGCGTCTAAGTTTGGGCAGGGGGAAACTTGCAGCTCTCCCACACTAGCCCCCCTTGCTTCTCTGCCAGAAGATCTGGCACCTGTCTTTCCAGCATGCTTCATAATGTTTGATATGCTGGAAAAATTTGTGCGGGTGTGTAATCCATCTGATTTGTGTCGTGTCGTGTAATATATCTTCTTCTATCTGCTTACTAGATCTTCTTCTATTTGCTTACTAGATAGAGAGACTAGCAAAAGAGTGAAGAAACTGACTAGGAAGCCAGCTGCTGCAGCCAGTACCTTTCACATGCTGTTGCTTCCAGGCAAACAGCTCACAAAAGGGATGGAAAGGCTTCACACAGAGCCTTATATGCTGTTTCTATGTCCCTTCCCCTGAGCACTGTGATTGGAAGGGAACTGAGGGAAAGATTAGTCACTGGCCAGCTACAGATGTCAATATCAGAGCAGTCTTTCCCCTCCCTCCTCCCCCCTGCCCCCCGATCTCTTCTCAGTTTGTTTCCCCACAAGTCCGCCTTTTCCGAATCGCCAAATCTTTTCCCGAATCCTTTCTGAATTGATTTGCATGCTTCAAAATCGATTCAGAGCTTTTTGTGGGTCTCCAGATTCAATTTGGATTCAATGATTCAGCTGCCAAATCTTCTCCAAATCGAATCAGTAACTGAAGCTTTGCACACCCCTAATGTACAGGATGTACCTGTGTTCAGTTACAAACAGTCATATCCCAAATATAGACCCATGGTAAGGAACCTAACTAACCAACAAACTAATGGTTTAGTTACGTGCCATGAACACCTGAATTATATGATTACATTGCTACCTGCCAGTATTAAAGACTTACCCCCATACATGAACACAGTCATCATTTAAAAAACCCACCAACCAAAAGTAAAATAAAAAGAGGATGGCTTTCCTAACTGGATAGCTTCAGAGCAATCAACCTGCTAAACTGGTCTGGTTATGACACTGGGCAAAATTTACATTCAAAACAACAATTTTTTACTTGGCAAATTCCTGAAGATTCACCTCAGCTTGTGATGGGACAACAGTTATATTCAGAACAATATTTTAAATCAGTTACTTACTTGGCAAGTTCCTGGAGAGTTGTTAAGAGTTCACTGGTGGATTTATGATCTTTAGCTCCCAGCGTAGACATCAAAATGTGGACATCACTGAAAAGTAGAACATGATCTTTGGTGTGCTTTTTTGTCAGCTGGAGAACTTCATTCCACCTGTTTCCCAACTTTAACCCTAGGAGTCAAATACATGATTTAAAACAATTCCACATACATCACATGGCACATGCTTTATAATTAACTGCATAAACCTTGACTGCAGGTTTAAAAAAAATCAGAACACTTCTACATCCAGCAGAATTCTCAGTGTGACTCTCCAACTTTAGTAAACAATTAATTGATTATCTATAAATTATCACCAATATCTTAGACAAGATTAGCAGGGATTCTGGCCTATCAGCAGATAGATCACCTTCTCCTTAACCCATATAACAGGATGGGCTCTTATCATTGTTCTCAATTTATCTGCGACATTTGATTACCAATTCAAAATACATATGCAGATGAGTTCATCATGACCTGATGTAGCAGAGTTCCATGAAAATTAAACAAACTGGGAAGTGAATACGTAATTTTTCCAGAGCTCTAGCTTAAAAAGTTAAAGTGAAGCTTTTTGGCTGTTTAGATTGTTTCATGAAACTCTCTGAATGACTGATACGGTACATTCATAAACCTCTTATTTCAAGCATTATGAATGTTAAGAATTAAATATTGGAGTTGATTGGATCTTCCCAGCACGAGAAGCCAGACAGGCATTTAATAGCACTTGGTTTACACTACTACAGCTTGTTGTATGGACCCCACCCCCTCCGCCACCTCTCCACAGGTTACAGAGGGCATGACCCCCTGCCACTTAGAAATTGGACAGTTTTGCTTTACGCAGTTGTTTTTTCAACTTCTTGTTGTCCAGGGACAAAGAAAGTGAAATTAATTGATAAAAAAAAGCATGGATTTATATTTGACTAGCTGAATGGAATACTGTACTGGCCAGATTACAAAAATAAGCTCAGGGGAGAAATAAAGGTAAGGAACATGAATATAAACTTAACATTCACCTCCCAAGGAAAGCATCAGTTTAAACAGTTGGCCCCTGTAACAGCAAATCATTCAGCTTTGCTCTGCATATTGTCTCTAATACTGCTCCTCCAGCATGCTGGAAAAGTGATGCTTTGCTCTTCACTCTTTAAAGAAGAATGATACAGAAATAGCATTTCTTTACCTTCTAGCTGAAGCCGGTACAGCATAGAGCAGTTATCAACCACATCTAGCAGAGTTCCACTTGTCCTACACCTGGGACCAATCTGCAATCAGAAGGCATTTTTAAATTGCCTGACCCATGTAGAAGTGGAAAGTTAACTGAGAGTCAAAATTTATCTTGACAACGCAAAAGTCTACTCTTCCAGGTACAGTTATCTTGCAAGAACACAAATTTCACCTTTTCACAAATACTTCAGTCTAAAAAGGATATGATTCTTTGATTTTTTTGGAACTACAAACAAGAAGATACATTGCAACAGTATTAGGCAGGACAAGGTATCATTGTACCATTTAAAAACAATGCAGGCATAGAAATGTCTTATGCAGACTCCTAATTCATTGCCTGTGTATCATTCCAAAAGATTTTCCTGAAATCCAGTCAAAGACCTTTAACATATCACCTAGAAATGAGGGGGAAAACATGACTAAAATGTTTTGTCATCTAACCTTTGACCTCAGACTTCACTCAAGACACCTTGGATTTACCAAGAATGCATTTTATATCACATTAGATATTTACATTTTTTTCCCCAGTCTCTCTATGGTCTGTACAGAGCAGTCAGTGCAGTCTGGCTAAAGCCAGAGGCACTGAAAAATGGATTGGTGAAAATATTTTTAAAAAATTCAGGTATAAAATTTAAAATAGTTTCTAAAATATGGAGTAAACAAAATACAAATATGATGGCATAAGAAACTTTTGGGCATTTTAGGATGACCTCTAATGCACATGTATTTTTACCAGTTGAGTAACAGCTGACCTAAACTGACAATTAAACATTTATAAATAAAACAGAAATCTGTATCACACCATGATTTCCTTTACATTAAATACAGAAAGAAATATGTAAACACAAGACCACGTATAATGCATTTTCACTAAAGAAGTCATTGCTACTCACATGATTATCATAAATTGTCAAAGCAGCCTCATAGTCGCCCTGTAAAAGCAAAGGACCATGGGATGACGGTCTTTAGAATGCAGTGTCCCAAAGTAACTGGTAGAATGTGGTAACAACAGATTTTCAGAAAAAGGTTATTTATCATATCGGTAAGTATCTGCAGTATCTGTATAAATTAAATCTCTTATTCTGGAGGCCAGATCATGGGGGTTTGTAGCTCACCCGTCAAAAATTTCAATTACAGTCTACAAGAGACGAAAGCAGATGGAAACGATGGTCTGAAAGCTTTTGAAGTTGGAACAGGCAATGATGCATAAACCATAAAGTGAAGCTGATAATTATGACAAAAAGTTATAAAAATTTTTTTAAAATCATATTAATCTTCTGCATCAAAGCACAGGTTCATCTAGTATAGATATATTATGATAATTCTTATAATTCATATTTATATGTATATTCAACTCCCCTTGATTAGATACAGGGCAGGAGAGTAGGTCCTAGTCTGATTAATAAGCATCCCAAGTCATCCTCTATAAACAGTCTTTTTACATAAAAATAAATCAGCTTCCGACAGCTTTTAATCCAAAGCTCCAGCTTGAAAGAGCTTTAAAGACTTAAAGGAAATTTCAGTTGGAATTGCACCAGGATTTACCAAGCAAATCATCCCTGAAGTCTTTGGGTCTAATTCAGCAGTGATATCAAAGTGATGTATGTTACACTTCTGGTAAAATCATGCAAGGAAGTGTATTTTGTCTTAGTGTTCCTTTCACAGTAGATGTGTAAAAAAGCACAATGTATAAAGCCTGACAAGAAGTGCACTGGCAGGCAGGAGGGGGGTCTGCAAGAAGAAAATCAAGGAGGCAGCAAGGAAGTAAAAAAAGGATTTCCTTTAAAGTTACTGTCTCCAGGTTCAGGCATTTTGAGAGTTGCACACATTTTGTATTAACCTCATACCAAGCTGGGGCAAAGTACACTCTTTGCTAACAACCTGAGTTTTTTGATTAATTTACATTGCTTTACATACATGTCAACTGTTATCTCACTGCTGAGTTTTGCCCCAAACAAAAGCCATACCTGCTAAGCATTATTTAAACCAACCAAAACGTTTTTCTGCGCAGTAGGTTGAGTATAGATATTTTAATTAAGGATTTCAAAACATCTTAAATACTTCTAAGAACATGCAGCATTTCAGATCACGTGATATCAGTTTTCTTTTTCACAGTAGCCATTTGGGTCTCCTGGGTAATTCATGCAAAGTGTCTTCAACATCCTTTGTGCCACCACTATTTGTATTGAAGTTGATGGGAATTTTACCTTTTTCAGGACTACAGAACTGGGTTTCATCACTGTATCAAAACATTTGTGCAGAACGTGCAATAACCATGAGTACTTAATGGCTTGACACTAACTTCTCTACATTTTAACTCATTTTAAAATTTTATACTTTGAAAAATGAAATAATTTGAAAATATCTGAATAAAAGTAGCAGCAACACAAATGCTATTACACTTGTTTTGGAAACACTTTAACATAATTAAAAGGGAGGAAGGCAGATCGATCAAACCTATTTGTCAGATTGTCCACCTGTAATGTGCAGCACAGATATAAAATCATCTCCATACCTTTTCAATAAAATAGAGAGCCCAGTGCCAATAATTATGACCAGCAACCATAGCATCCTGAAAAGAGAGAGAGAAAGAAAGAATTCAGCCAATGTATAAACTCAGTTTAAAAATCAATTCAGTTGATTTTAGAGGTCAGTCTTCTCCTGCAGTAAATGTGAATTTCTAAGTCATGAGCAGATAAAAAAGCCAACAATCTAGAACTGCAATTCCCCTCTGAATACTGACTGTGGCACCTTTTTTACTGAATGGATTCCTCTTTGAGGCTATTCAGGGCAATAATGTTCTGAAATCTTAAAAATAAAGTTTTATAGAGTTTTGGTAGTGGTAGAATGATGATGTAGCCATGACAGTCCAGAAAATGTGAGAAGCAAGGGCTTTTGTGGTTATATTTTATTGAACCAACTGCCTTGCTGGAATAGACTTAGCCAAGCTATTGAATGTAGCAGTACTTCAAGTTTGGAGGCCCTCATCTCTCAGTCTTGCATTTCCATTCTGAAAAATGACTGTATTTTGCCTCATGCTCTCAATGAGTATCATTTGATAGCACAATTAAAAAAAACTCTCCATTGACTTTCTTTCCACCCAAAGGCTGACAGCATAAAGAGTTCAAATATGCCCTTTTATTACTTTGTCAGATATCCTCTGGCAACAAACCAAAGCCTGACTGGACAACACCCTTGTGACAGAGGAAAGAAGGGACATATCTGACAAAGAGTCTTAAACCCTCCATTCTTGTTGATGCAGTTTCAGGAATAGGTTAGACAAGAACTTGTAGGGCATGCTCTGGGTATGGATGACCCTGCCTCAGTGAGAAGGCTAGAGTAGGCAACCAACGGAGGCCCCTTCCAGCTCTGCTTTTCTATGACTTTATAATTCAATGCTCAG